TGCTGAATTAAAGTTGGGGGATAGGGGACTATACCCTGGACCCCACAGTTTTGGGGCCACAGTTCATAAAATTAATAACACTAATAAAGGATCCTCCTACTTTAAAATAGCCCCATGCCACGGAAAAGTTTTATTCCACCACTGTCTTTACTTAATAATAATAATAATAATAGTAATAATAGCAATAATAATAATAATAATAATAATAATAATAATAATAATAATAATAATAATAATAATAATAATAATAATAGCAATAATAATAACAATAATAATAATCATTCTTTTTTTAGTTTTATTCATCACATTAATTTTTCTCTAATTCACTTTTTTAAATAATTATATTTCTGATATTTTTCCCAATGGAACTAAAAACTCATAAAAAAAAACTTATTAAAGAAAAAGCAATCGCGTTTGAAATCATTTAGTAATTCTTTTTAAAAGGTTTCAACTTGTTAAAACCTTTGTTTGAGAATTTATTCCACTTAAATAAATGAGAATTTATTCCACTTAAATAAATATTCCACTTAAATAAATGTTAAATAAATCAAAATAAACATAAAAAAAAGTTCATTCTCAAAAAAATTTTCTTTTTTACTTACTTTTTTCTGTTTTTTTATTTTCATGCTTTCGTCACTTTCATTTTCACTATTTTTTATAAAATTAAAAAAAAAGATAAAACTGATTTAATAATAAACGAGAGTTAAACAAGAGTCACCATATGTCAACTCTTATTTATAAATTGTGTCTCCACCAAAGTTACCAAGTTGATTAAAATCCACGCAAAGTTCAGTTTTTAAATTACGGCAAAATACATACTTAATTGCAATAAAAAAGTTTAAAATATGTTTATTTAAACAAACAAATAGTAATATGTTGTTAGATGATTTTAGAAAATACGAATTTAGAAAATTAAAACTAGAATAAAAAAATGAGAAAATATAATTTATTATGTTTATAAAAATGTAGTTGAAATTATAAATTTTACGACAATGACTCATAAATTATTAATAATAGTTAATTGTTTTTATTTTATTTATTTTAAATTATCTTATAATTTAATTTTAATTTAATTAAAATTAATCTGTATTATCTATAATTACATAAGTTAATCTATATTACATATATATATGTATAAACACACACACACATATATGTATATATATATATATATATATATATATATATATATATATATATATATATATGTATATATATATATATGTATATATATATATATTATATATATTATATATGTATTTATATTTGTATATATATATATATATATATATATATATAATATGTATATATATATATTTATATATGTATATATTATATATACATATATATAATATATATTATATACAATATATACATATATATATTATATATAATATATATTATATATATGTGTATATATATATATATATATATATATATGTATAAATATATGTATATATACATACATATATATATATTACATATATATATATATATATATATATATATATATATATATATATATATATATATATATATATATATATATATATATATATATATATATATATATATATATTATGGTAATTCACTTCTCTAAGACTGAGAAAGATGAGGAGACTATTTAGTTGTGGTTATAACCCTCTCTCAACTTTATAACTCTAAAAACAAACCGTGATGAACAAAGTCGCTGCACGGAGAAACAAGTTGATATATATAAATGTGTGTATATATATATATATATATATATATATATATATATATATATATATATATATATATATATATATATATGTATTTTTTACCTGCTGATTGCTATGCGCATGAAACTTTTAGTAGTAAAAATTACATAGTTATTTTTTTTAAATCTCGCCGAAAAATCAATTATATATATATATATATATATATATATATATATATATATATATATATATATATATATATATATATATATATATATATATATATATATATATATATATATATATATATATATATATATATATATATATATATATATATATATATATATATATATATATATATATATATATATATATATATATAATATATTATATATAAATTTTTATATATATAAATTTTTTTCCTAGAATAGGCCCTTTGTATATATATATATATATATATATATATATATATATATATATATATATTATATATATATATATATATATATATATATATATGTATATATATATATATATATATATATATATATATATATATATATATATATATATAATATATTATATATAAATTTTTATATATATAAATTTTTTTCCTAGAATAGGCCCTTTGTATATATATATATATATATATATATATATATATATATATATATATATATATATATATATATATATATATACAGTGGTTTTCATAAATTTAGACGCACTCAAATTTGAGAATAGAAATTTTTAGTTTTTTAACGATAAAACAATGACGAAAAAAGATTTCGGTTTAGTTTTTTTTCTATTTATTAGATATTAAAGTTTAAAAAAATTTTACAAAAAAATATGAAATACTAAGTAATAATTAGGTACAACTATATGGTATTAAAAAAATTAAACAAAAAAAAATTATTCTTAAATTTAGACGCACGATACATTAGAAGGCGTAATTTATGAACCAATCAATATTTTGTGTATCCGCTTTTTGCTTTAATACAACTAAGAACTCTTCTAGGCATAGACTCAACAAGATTTTTGCACATCGCTTCTAGGACCTCATACCAGGTCTTCTTAAGGAATTCCTTCAGCTGACCAAGTGTGGAAGTTTGAACCTTTGCTAATTCACAGCCAATCCAAGCCCAAACGTTTTCAATCGGGTTCAAATCAGGTGAGTATGGAGGCCACGGTATTGCCATGATATTAATATTGTTGAACCACTCCTTTGTATACAGTATGTGCATTAGCGCCATCTTGTTGAAGTTTCCATGGTTTATCATTGAGCATAAGCAGGTCAATTGATGGATTTAGGTTGTTTTCCAGTACTTCTACGTATATTCTGGAGTTGATTCTTCCGATGTATGTTTGGCACATACCAACAACTTTGTAATTGAAGCATAACCAGATTCCTATCGAGCCTCCTCCACTTTGTACAGTCGGTCTAATGTACCTGGCGTAATACTTTTCGTGAGCCATTCTTTTGACTGTTATGTTAGATTTGCGATTGATAAGCTCATCACTTCACATAATGTTTTCCCATTGTTCTATTGTCCAATACCTTCTTTCACGACACCATTTTAGTCTCCTTTGTTTATCATATGGACGCAGAAGCGGTTTCTTCAAAGCAGTGTAGACGCCAATCTTGTATTTATAAGTATTCGGCGGACTATGCTTTGAGAAATAGATGTATTTCACGTTGTATTGAATTCTGTGGTCAATTCTTTGTAACTAATTCTTGGATTAGCTCTGACAGCTCTAAAACGAACACTGTTGTCCTTTCTGGTGGTTGATAAGGGTCTACCTGGCCTCGTTTACTCCCTGGCACCACCAGTGTGAAGAAAGTTTTGTTTCGTTGTCCGAACACATTTCTCAGAAAATCCAATTAACTTGGTGATTTCTCTATTACTTTTGGTTCCTTCTTTGATGTGCACAATAATTTGCCATCTTTTACCTTGAGTTATACGTCTTTTTCCCATTTTTCACGTCTTTTTAGTGCAAAACTAACTTAACTTTTGTTTATTTATTAAATAATGATTAACTAATTTCAGGTAAGTCATATTTATATAAGGTTTTTTGACAAAATTAATTAATTTAGGCCTATTAATGAGAAATATGGGAAAAAACTACTAATTAACTATCAATTTACAAGATATAAGACTTTTTTGATTGTGCGTCTAAATTTATGAACAAAATAAAATCAACCTTATCAATTAACTTTTTTGTGTTAATCGATATAGAATGAGTAATAAACATCCTGTAAAAAAAATTAAGGTACTCTATAATAGATTTTTACTTCCTCTTTTAAATTATATATCAAACATAGCGGTAGCACTTTTATTTTATTTTTATTTTGAGTATTTTCTTACATATATGAAAAAAAAATGAATGCGTCTAAATTTATGAAAGCTACTGTATATATATATTATATATATATATATATATATATATATATATATATATATATATATATATATATATATATATATATATATATATATATATATATATATATATATATATATATATATATGTCTGCTCCCACCCTCTAAATGTGTTCTATTTTATAAAATGATAAAGCTACAGTCAAGCTGCATAAAAAACTTTAATTTTTTGCTTGTTGCATTCTAGTCAGTGGAGACTTTTTAACTGCTGCTTCAAGAGAATGTGCTGCTACATTAACTGAGGGTTCGGCATTGGGCAGCATTTTTTTTATTATTATTTCAATAAATATTCCTTATGTTTTAAAAAGTCTCCACTGATGAGAGCACAAGAAGCGAAAAAAAAAAATTATTTTTTGTAGGCAGTGAAATTATCATTTTTTTATTAAATGTGATTTTTTTTGAAATTTTTATAAATTTTCGGTTCTTTTGAGACCTAACATAATATATTTTTAAAGAACTTTTTTTTGTTGATAATATTAGGAAACTGTCTAATGCTTAAGGGACTTGAGCGACCCCTGAAAATATTTTTTTTTTCAAAAATTTCTTAATTTAAGTATTATTTTATTATATAAAACATATTTAGAGGGTGGGAGCAGACATTTTTTAAAAGAAGTTGTGTTTTGGAACACTCATGTACATATATATATATATATATATATATATATATATATATATATATATATATATATATATATATATATATATATATATATATATATATATATATATATATATATATATATATATATATATATATATATATATATATAAATATATATATATATATATATATATATATATATATATATATACAAATATATATATATATATATATATATATATATATATATATATATATATATAACTACTAACAAGTTACTTAATATTTGTTAAGCTAGGAATAGGTTACTTAAATGATGTTGATGATATAAATTGAAGTTGCTCAATGATGTTGTTTTTGTGTTTGGTTTCAATTTTCTCAGTTCATGCCCAAGGTTTGTTAATAATAATAATTTTGTTAATAATAGGTTTATAAATTCATTGTAACTACATGATCTTATCCGATGCTATATGCTTAGAGATGTGAGTCATTTTTTTGGTTCTTTGATTTTTTGCAAAAGAAAACCCTGTTTTTTTTAACAAAAAACCAAGAGCTTCGTTTTTTGGGAAAAAATTACTTTTTCTTATCTTAAACAATTAAATAATTGAAAAATTTGTTTTTAAGTATATTTATTATAGGATATTTTGCAATTCTTCTATTTAATATTTCATTTTATCAGTACTGTCTTAAAAGTTCTTAAATTAGCAAATCTCTTTAAAAATCAATAAATTTCTGAAAGTTTTTATCGTAGTTTTTAATGAAGAACAGAGATTAATAAAATGAAACCCTTTTTTTGTAATTTAGTTTTTTAAATAACTATGTTTTAGTGCACAATAGTTTTTTAGAATTTCCTTGCAGAGTTTTTTTTTTTTGGTTTTTTAACTTCATAGTCAGGTTTTTAGAGGAATTTTGAGTTTTAAAAAAATCTTGTTTCTATTTTACTGAAAATAACTATTTAGTTATTAAATTTAAATCTTAATGAGCAATAGTAATAAGATAGTCTGTTATCACAAGTAGATCTTTTCAGATCTACATCTGACAAAAACTTACTTACTAAAAGATGTCATAGTAGATCTGAAAAGAATTTGATAAGTCAAAAAAATCTAATTCTCTAACCAATAGTTATGTGACATAAAGTTTTAAAAATAGTTAAATAATAGATTATACATCATTATAAAGAGCTCCAATACAGTATTTCAAAGGTGTAAATTATAAAATTTAAACAATTTTACAAAGCATTATGGCGTTTTAAGTACTATATTTTTGATATACAGTTTGTTTTTTTTAAATGTCTTATATTTAAGTAATAAAACAATTTGAAGAAAAAACAGTTTATTTTGGTTCAAAATATTTTTTATTTGATTAAATTTGAAAAAAAAATTATATTTAATGTAAAAAAATTTTTGCTTAGGAGTTATGTTGTTTAAGTTATTCTTTTTCGTTCTTTTATCCATGCTTTTTCCATTCTTTTTAACAACCACCATGATGTTTTGTTTCTAACTTTTAATATGACTGTCTGCCAGGAATCTTGCACTAGACAAATATTTCTTTTAGAGCAGTCATTTGTGCACTGTATATTTAAAATAAAATCTTTAAAAAACTTAAAGCTGGGATGAAGATCTACAAATTTTCCATCAGAAATCCAAAACAATATATATTAAGATCAAGTATCAACAAACTCATGCAAATGAGTGTTCTTGTTAATAATTACATTATCTTTTATATCTGGTTTCTTAATTTCAAAATAACAAGTATCCTCAGGATAGGTATAATTAATAAGTTTCTGTGTCATTAAGAATTTCTTTTCATTAGTTACACCTGAATCTGCTAGTGATATAATAACAATATCTTCAGCCAAGTACCATGTATGCCTAAGAAGATAATTTTTAGCCTAATATTTCGTCTTCTTCCTCTATGCTTTTAGCTACTTTAAAAGCTTTGAGATCATTATATGATCAAAGGAATTTTTTTTGCTTTTTGTGCAATCTGATGCATGTAAGAATTGTTTTTTAAAATGAAAAATAAAATAAAAATTAAATTTTTCTAATGAGTTAATATCTTCATTGCATTCATCGGTCTAAAATTTTTCATACCAATATTTTTTAAAATTTGAAAACAGTTGTTTTTTTAGTGCCTTATCTTTCCTGTTAACGCTTGCACTAAATGACTGATGTTTCTCTTATATATGTGTCGACGACATAAAAACCACATAATGTGCTTCCCACCAACAATAAGTTCAATTCCTCCATAATGTGCACCAGTGTTTTGAAGCAGTTGTGTCAGTACAAAGAGCAAAAATCTTTTATTTTAAAATATTTTCAATTTCAAAATCTTTTAATACCTTTCTTATTTCTTTGGCTTGGTCTTTGCTTTTCGTTGAACTTGCCTAGAACACTTCTAGCAAAATATTTACTGTTATCATCCTCAGGAGCCGACACACTCACTGCAATCCTTTCCATTATAAAAGTAATGTTATTTTTAAAATACTATTCATTACACAATTAACCATTCAATTGAAGCAAGAGTTTTTTTACTGATTAACAATAAAAATAGAAATAGTTGTAAAAATTTTTATAACTACTTATTATTTCTTCTCCCTTGTTTTTGATGGTATGAAATCTTTTTTTGTGGATTCCTGATTTTGAAAAAATAATATCTTCCAAATTGTGCCCTGCATGCTTCAAAATTGAAGAAAGAGTTGCTGTATGACCCCATACACCAAGATAAAATCTTGCAGCAACTTCACTTGTCACTTTTATTAATCTGTCCCTAATATTGACAAGTGCAGCTGATCAGATCTTTTTTTTTTCTTAATGGCACAAGAAATTTTTTTATCTTTTTCACTAGATACATCGAAAAATGAATCATTAGATAAATTTGATTCAAAGTATATTGATTCTGTATCAGAATCAGAGACAATATGATTTTCAAGGTAATTTACATCCTCTATGAACATTTCAAGTTTTTATCTATTTTATTCCTATGTTCGATTCAATATGTCAATATCCTCAGTTATATACACTTTTCTAGTTAACTTTTGGTTGGTTAAGAATTTAATGCCCTCTTTAATGGCATCAGGTAATCTGTTGCGGTCAGCTTTGATTTTCATTGCAATATTTCTGCAGCCTATGTCAAAAAGTTCATTTGAAGTTTTTTTACCGTCGGTTTTGAGAATTGAAAAATTTTCTTTTGAAGAGAAGTTCAATCAAATATGAAATAAAAAAAGACATAATTTACACATTACGACTTTAAAAGATGGTCAAAGTAACTTACTTTTTAAGATGTATTTGCTTTTTCCATTTCTTGTTGAGCTTTTGAATCTCATTTCTAATGGTCAAACTTTCATCAATAAGTCTTTTTGAAAACCCGCTCTGCACCAGATATTTAATACCTCTTTGACAAGTCAATCTTTAATACTTATCCCACATTTTGCCCCAGGAAGTTGATATTTTAGCTAATACCCTCTTTTCTGCATGAAACAATATTTGATTTTGTTGACTATACCTTAATTGCTTTGAGGATATAATATGGCAATATCTTCTTTATATATTTATATTTTCTATTTATATATATATATAAAAAAACATAAACTATATTGTTATATTGATTTAATTAATGTAATTTAAATAATCTCTGTATAGTATTAAAAAATAATACTTGCTTATTATATAATTATAAATTCAAAATAAATAAATAAGAAAGAGTTGATTAATGTCATTTATCATTTACGTAAAAAACCATAAAAAATGCAAAAACTCCTGTTTTTCAGTTTTAACTCTTGTTTTTCAGTTGATAAAATTGCTTATTTTTGTGCATATAATCAGGATATATTTTGAACTTAAAAAAAAAATTTTTTGAGACACCCTAATATTTATATATATATAAATGTTGTTCTAAAAGCCCTTTAGGGGGGACGCCCCTTCAATACATAAAAAAATTATATTTTCAAAAAGAACTTCAAGCTTTTTACTTAAAGTTTATATTTTTATATATTCTACTAAACCAACATCAAATATGAAGAAATGTTTATTAAAATAAAATAAAATAATGCAAGATTAAAGTTAAACCCTTCTAGTTTTTAAAAATTATCTAACTTGATGAATATTTCTAAAAAATAACACAAAAGTTATTTTCATACTATGCAACTCGTAAAAAATCTTGAAAAATGGTGGTACTAAATTTGATCTTATAAATGTTTTTGTAAAAGCCGACATTAATTTGGCTGTATCATGGGTTCTCGAAACACTGTTTCAAAAAACTTTTTTTTTTAAATAAGCATCATAATGTTTATTCAAATAAATTTTAATGTAATTAAAAGTATGAATTCATGTTCTGTCTTAAGTGGCTTGAATTGTTAATTCATTAATTATTTTAAATTCCCCTCTTTATAACTGAGAGTGCTACTATGAGAATTTACTCTTTATTTAAAATATTGTTGTTATATAACTTTTTTACCAAACTTACATTTTTTAACACAAACTTTGACATAGAAAGAAATTTTTATCCCAGATGTTGTATTGTGAACTTTTCAGATTCCTAAATTTTGATAATGTTCTGTTTAACAATATAATAATATATTCCAAAATTTTTGTTTAGCCTTATAATTAGATAGTATGACTTTTTTAACTTTCGACTTTTGAGTTTTTGAATATTTAAAATTTTTTTTCTAATTGACCAACTTTCAAGAATTAATGTTAGTAATTAAATTATTTCTTCCGTTTTTTCTTTTAATTTCTTATTGCATCTGAAAGTTTGCTACTACAAGCCTCCCCAGGAAATGCGTGCAGTTTTTCGTCTTGTATGACAACACACTAATTTTTTTTTTTAGACAACTCAGTCAAGACCGTTTGCAAGTTTTATAATATTATTCATTGCAGAAAAAACTAAGTTTCAAAAAAAAAACAAAGCAAAACTAACAAATTAGGAAATAAAAAGAAATTTATATTAAAAAAATAAAAAGAGTGGTTGTTATTTTAGCTTTAGGTTGTTTCTTTAGAGTGGTTGTTATTTTATTAAGTTAGATAAGGTGAAGCAAAACAGTTTTAAGTTTACATTAAAAAGAATGATTTTCTTTTATTTAACTTTTTTTTTTTTAAAGAGGAAGGCGAAAGTATAAATTGCAATGTGTTTGTAAAGTATATTTGTATAATTTTAATGTAACAAGTATATAATGTCCCTTTATGAAAACGTCTATATAATAAATCCGTATACTTTTATGTATAACTTTTTGTATTATATAATTTTATTTATTTCCTCCTAATTATATGTAAGTTTAGTTTATTTGGATAAGCTAAACATGCTAAATGAGTTGTGTATCATTCAGAAACATACAACAAAAATATATTCAAAAAAGAAAAGATAAATGGTTATAACGCAAATATATGACCAGTGGTATTTAAAAAAAAATAACAATTTAAAAGAATTGAGGTTGGTGGATTCAAACCACGGACATTCCGTTTATGAAGATAACGCCTTATCCAAATGAGCTAAACGTGCGTTTACTTAGGAATAAATAAATATAATTATATAATACAAAAGGTTATACATAAAAGTATACCTATGCATTACATAGACGTTTTCTTATAGGGTAAATATATACTTGTTACATTAAAATTATGCAAATATATTTTACAAACAGATAACAATAAAATAAAATATATGATCATTCAGCAGTTTTAATCATTCCTTTTAAAACTGTTTTTTTTATTTTATTTTTTTGCTTTTTTGTTGCCTAAAATAACAACCACTCTGAAGAAACAAAAATAAAAATAGAACTTAAAACAAGTATGGTAAGTAAGTAATGTAAATAATAGTAAGTAATACAAAGGTCTTCACAACTATAATCTTCTGCAGCAACTACATCTTGACTAACTTTTGTAAATTTGTTTACCTCAGAACATTAATTCCTGGAAGTTAGTCAAGTGAAAATGAAACATCAGTCAAGTGAAACAACTTGTCACAACCATCATTTAAAACTTGCCCCACACAATATTTCTTTGCACAATATTTCAAAAATAATAAAAATAAAGCACAATTGTAATATAAAACATGTAACAATATAAAAAAGTCTTTTTTTTTAATAGTTATGAGTCTTACTATTTTCATGATCAAAATGAAATCTCAAATACAAATGTGTTTATAATTAGCTGTCCAAAATGCATGCCAATACAATATTTTTTTACAACTGCTTCAGTATACATCAAACATTCTGAAATTTTGGTTCCTAGAATATTAAATACTAAAATACTTAAATCCAGGAGTAATACTATGTAGATTTAGTAATACTATTTATGGAAAAGCAAATAAACTACATATTATAAACTCATATCAAACAGAATTAGAACATATATTATTTAAGAAAAACCTCTTTACATAGTTATAACCAAAAATAAAATCAAAAATTTGAAATTAAAATGCCTATATGTAAATTTAAAAGGATCCACAAGTGCTGAAATAAGTTGTGTCCATATGCTCAATAAACCTTAGAAAATAAGTGTAGAGTTAAGTAAACTCTCCAAAACAGTTTATTTATTAAGATATTACCAAAAAAAATTATTTATTAACAAAAACTTCATAATTTTTAATGCCGTTTTGACATTTATCTTTTTAAAGTCTGTTTATATAATATGACACAAAGAATTATAAATTAAATTTTATTATCAACAAAAATTTAATTTGTAACTTTGTTTCTGCTAAATTACAATAGAAAGTTTTATCAAAAACTCTATTTTTAACTTTGATCTCAACTTTCTGATACAATGTGAAACATTTTAATACAATTTTATCAGCATAAATTTTTTGCTGATTTCTTCTATTTCTCTGGAGTTTGAATTATTATTCCCAAAATTTATTTTCATAATAGGTTTTAGCTGTGAGCTTGGATCTAAGTGATGCATCCCATTATTCCCCAATTTACAATTACTTTCCCCAGTCAAACAATTAAGTTTTTTTCAAGTTTATATAATTTGTAGTTATTAACTAGTTATGTCCTTTAAAGGAAACATGTATGTTTGTTTTTTTATTATTTGTAGTTTAATGACATATTTGTAAAACTTCATAGAGTGGAATTATCGGTGCTAATAGTTATTTTTGAATATGAAAAAAAATGATCATGATAAATTCAAATTTTGTTTTGCCCTGCAATCTTTTATTTTCATAGTAGTTATGAGTTGAATTTGATTTTTTACAATTTGTTCTAACTAAAAATAAGAATGTTTCTTGATAAATGCGAAGTCAAAGTAATTAAATTACTTGACTCCAGTTTTTTCTATAATTTTTGAAAAAATTATGAAATAATAAAGATAAATAAAAAATGTTTCATTTTATATAAAAAGTATATCATCTTTTCATATTTTGTTATTTCAAAAATGTTTTTTTTATAATTTTTTTTTTTACATATTTTATAGATTCTATGCCCATCATCAAAGATATTCCTGATGTCTACCTTGCATTAAATCAAAATTATAGTATCTCTTGTGAAACCAATGTTACTTGGCCTATCACCTGGTCTAAAGTCAACGGTGTTGTAACAAACAATAATATTGGCAAATTAGTAATAATCAATATGAAAGCTTCAGATGCTGGTGTTTATACGTGCAAAGTGCAAAATCCACTAAATTCAATGGAGTCGAGTGACAAGTCTTTTACTTTGCATTATGTTGATTGTATGTTATACTTTGTTGATTTCATCTGCTTTTATGATTTTTAATACTTGAAATTTAACCTTTTTCTTTAGCTTTAAAATGGATTGAAATACCAAAAAGTTCTGAAGTGATTGCAAACCAAAATTTTAGTTGGACAGCCAGTATTATATCACCAAGTGATAAAATAAACTTTGTTTGGCTAAAGGATGGTAACATAATGGAAAAAATTAAATCTGAAGAAAACATAGAAGGGGCAAAATATTCATCAAGGTTACTTTTTAAAAACATAAGTATTGAAGATTTTGGTAAATATAGAGTTATTGTAGAGAATATGGTAATCAGTGGAGTTGCTTATGATATGTCTCTTAAAGTAAAGTGTAAGTTAATTATAAGTTTAAATAATAAGTTTTAATTTTTTCTATGATTTGACCCAAGGTTTTATAAAATTGAAAAAAAAATAGTATACAAGAAATGTATATAAAATGAAAATTCGAAAGTGCATTTAACAGTTTTACCAATGTATTATTGTTTTGTGTGTGTGTTCTATATTGTGTACAGGTTTAGATTGTCAGCAGATGTATATTGCAAACAGAATTAATTTATATTTAATTTTTAAAGTATTTTTAAAAATATATTTATTTTTAAATTATTATTATTATTAAATATATATATCTTAAATATTATTGTTGAACTTAATAGTAGTAATGCCCGCTCATGCATATTTGATATGAAACTCTTGGCAGCCATTGCAATTGAAGTAATGGCTAGAAAGTCACAGCACTTTTTTTATAAGAAAATGTGAGCAAATGTATATGCAAATATCTAACTTATGTAAACTTCAAATTATGTAATGTTGAAACATCAAGTTTTACAGTTTTACTTTACTTGAAAGTTGGATTGCGGCAATATCTCCTTAATTTTGATTTATAGCAATCATTTGCCGTTTTTATAAAGTCTTTTGTTTATTTAATTGCGTTAAAACTTTTTTGAATAACATATTTTATTAACTGAAGTGGTTAGCTCGTAGCGTATTTAAAATACATCGTTTTGGTTGAAAAACAAATAAATGTGTCCTTAAAATTTCTCAAAACATAAAAACTCTGGGAGAAGTTTGTTGCACATATGTCATGATAGAGATACTGTTATTAATGTGCTTAGGCTAGAAGTTAAGTCTTAACACTTAACTTTAAAGAGAAATAATTAAAGAGTTGTCAATGCGCCTGTATAAAATATAAATATATATATATATATATATATATATATATATATATATATATATATATATATATATATATATATATATTTATATATATCAATGGTTAAGACCACAAAGGGAATGCGTCCACTAACCATTGTTTTGAGAAATCTGAATTTGAAAGTTTGTAAACATACAATAATTCATGATATTTATTTATTGTCATGATTTTTAACCAAATGCATCTTCCAATTGGTCGACTGTTGAAGCTTAATATTTGTACCAGAGTACCCTTATCACTTACTGAATGGTGCGCGCGCAATAACTCAAAACCATAAAATGTTGGACATATTCCCTTTGTGCTCTTAACCATCGATATGTATATATATATATATATATATATATATATATATATATATATATATATATATATATATATATATATATATATATATATATATATATATATATATATATAGATATCTATATATAGATATCTATCTATATATATATATATATATATATCTATCTATATATATATATATATATATATATATATATATATATATATATATATATATATATATATATACATATATATATATATATATATATATATATATATATATATATATATATGTATATAGATATAGATATATATACATGTGTGTGTTTATATATATATATATATATATATATATATATATATATATATATATATATCAGTCGTGGACAGGAAAGGTGTGCGATGGCATTCCAATCTTAACCGTGCATGTAATTGTTTTTTTTGAAAGCTTGACCACGGCCTTTTAGATAATTAATAATGTGCTGAAAAAAACCAACATAGAAAAAAAATTATAAACAAGCTAAATTATATATATAAAAAAAGAATTTTTTTTATATATATAATTTTTTATCACTTTTTTTGGATATTTCCGGAATGCCAGATTTTTCTCAACATTTAGTTTTTTTGTATAACCAAAACATTTTCCATACATATACAAGTTTAAGAATATATTTTTGTAATATATTTGTTTTTTAAGCTTTTTCACTCATCACTCATACTAAAATTTAAAAAAATTTGAAACTTCAGTTGAAAGCAAAATTAAGAGAAAATTAAAGGAAAACATATTCTGGATGTTTTACCCAAACAATTTTCCGGATTTTTCAAAAATAACCTAGATGATCTATTTAACTTTATTCTCGTGTTACATTCAATTAAGTCTCATCCTTTAACTGTGACTTTTCTTAAGTGCTCCAAAAATTCTTATTCCTCTAGTTTTTTTCCTCAAATGTCAGTTCTTTAAAATTTACTTCCTTCATCATGTTTTTAGGATTCAACAGTATATATATATATATATATATATATATATATATATATATATATATATATATATATATATATATATATATATATATATATATATATATATATATATATATATATATATATATATAATCTTTGAATGTCATTTTCTTGTTATACGTTAAAGTATGGTTAGAATTCAATAAATACAGCTGCGTATAAACTTTTTTTTAATTATATATATTTTTTTCTTTAATATATAATTATTTTGATATTTCGCTGATCTATTGTGATCAGCGTCATCAGGTATAATAAATAAATTTAATGTACAATTTAGGTTTAAGTTGAACATTTCTAATAGCTTTTTTTCTATGTATTTGAAATTCATAAGTTCCAGAGCCTGTGTTTGTAATGTTAATATCTAGGAAATTGAGTTGTTTGAGGTTGTTTTCAAGTTCCACAGTGTATTTTATGGGAGGATGTTGTTCATTAAGGATGTTCAGGAACATTTGTTGTTGTTTTATTGTTGTTTCATTAATCCTAACATTATTATTGGCGTTTTCAAAGGATTTTTATGTCGTGCTAAAAGAATATTCTCTCAAAAGCACCTTCAAAAAGAAATTGATTTTCTAATAGAAATTTTTGTTAAAAATGGCCACGACAAGAACATTCTAAATAATATTACTGTAGACTATTTAAAAAACGGTTCAAAAAACACCACATTTCAACCATTAGATACCCAACCCTTTATAAAACTACCTTGGATACCAATTGTTGGTCCAAAACTTTGTAAAGAATTTCGAAAGCAAAACATAAAGGTTATTTTCACATCAACTCCCAATTTAAAAAATATTTTCTGCAACAATAAAACTAAACTACCACTAAACACAGACCCTGGCGTATACCAGCTAAAATGTTCATGCGGTTCGATATACATTGGCGAAACTAAAAAGAAGGTGATATCGAGATGTATTGAACACCAAAAAAACAGCTTAAAAGGAAAATGGTCCAGTTCGGGTGCAACTGAGCATTCTAAAACATGCCAGGGTAAGTTTAATTGGTTGCACCCCAAAACATCTGTAGCCCCAGAACATCGAACTCGGAAAATCAGAGAGTCACTCGAAATAAGCAAGGCTAGGGTTTAACAGAAGTTGAGAAATGGTGATGTGGTTCTCAATCGGGATGACAGTGATAACGTAACAACCAAAACCTGGGCCATTTTTTAATAAAATCTGCTGACGTCAGTTATTTGAAAAGTTTTTTCTGTATTATATTTTGGCTTTTTAATGTTTTGTTTATTTTAATCTTTTTAACGGTTTGTTTTTACTATAACAATTTTTTAACTATTTTATTTATTATACCTGATGACGCTGATCACAATAGATCAGCGAAATACCAAAACAATTATATATTAAAGAAAAAATATATATTTTTAAAAGTTTATTCGCAGCCGTATTTATTGAATTCTAATATATATATATATATATATATATATATATATATATATATATATATATTTATATATACATATATATATATATATATATATATATATATATATATATATATATATATATATATATATATATATATATATATATATATATATATATATATATATATATAAGGTTGTTGTTTTTTTTAGTTATAAAAAAATAAACTCTTTACAAGATGTCGTTTAAAGTTTGTAATAATGTTTTATCATTTTTTTGATAAAATCAATTATTATAACAAAACAAGCAAATAAAATTTAAAGTATCAAAAGCGGTGTTAATATATAATAAAATTTAATGTGTATTATTTTTTAGCTAATATTTTTTTGTTTTGTTTTTTTTTATATTTATTTTTAAATTGGCTAATTATTTTTGTTATTGTTTGTTTTGCGAAATTGTCTAAATAAATATTTTTGCTCTTGCAAGATGATAAATGAAAAATTTTTAATTATGTTTACTTTATGATTTCTTTTTTTAATAAAAATAAATTTTTTTTTGTTTTTTCTTAAATTTTTTCTTAAGTTTCTAAAGTTTTTCATAAATATAAATCACTTCTTTTTATCTGCATTTTTAGATATTGATTAGAAAAATTAAAAATTCTTGTTGAAACTACATCAAATAAAAATGACAAAGTTTGAGTTTCATATTGCCTTAAACAGAATTTTAGTATTATAAATGTGAATACAAATATTACACTACTATAATACAAAGTAGAATTAGTAAAAAAAAATATTTTTTTCTTTTCTTCTTAAACACAGATGCAATACAGAGAGATTTTTTCTTAAATCCATGATGTGAAATACTGTGTAATATCATAACATCAATGACAATATGGTCAAGTTCGCTAAATTGTTTATAAACGAAAAGTATCATTGTTTTAGCTAAGATAAAAAGTCATATTTAAAATAAACCAATTACATAATAAATTGTTTATTATGAATATATTAAAAATATATTAGATATGAATTTAAAATATTTTTAATAAGGAATATAAATCAAGTAAAAGTTGTTTATCAACCAATAAACAATATATGGAGAATCTTATTCTTTTTATTTTATTTTTCAAATAAAATGTTTACAAAAATTAAATATAAAATGAGCTAAATTATATTAAAGTTTAATATTTTTAGCACTATAGGCCTTTCAAAAAATCATCAGTAGTGCTATTATTGTATTCATTATAAGAAAATATAGTTTTTTAAAACAGGAAATGATAATTATTGTAGTTGTTAGTAACTATGGTAATCTGCTAGTCGTGATTTTAACAGAAAATGTGTCATGTTTTCGGTTGTGCAGATGTTTTTCATATGATTGAATTTTTTTCATTTTTTAGTAAAATTTTTATAAAAATTCTTGTTTCTTCTTATTAACTGCTTGTGAGAC